CCCCAAAACCCCAAAACCCCAAAACCCCAAAACCCCAAAACCCCTTTGACTAACCATAAAAATGAAACTTGCAACTAAATATAACTATTCATAAATTTCTTCAGAAGGGTCTTCAGAAAACTCAGAAATCTCTTCATTTGATGAATTCTCCATCAGTAACTCAATCTGCTGATTATATTTTTCTTGGTCTTCACAAAGATAAAAGTCATCATTTAAAATGCTCATATCCTGAGAATCGAAAGTATTTGATGGAGTAAACATAAGAGAGCAGGACCAAGAGTCTAAGTTATCATTTATAACATAATCGTCGAGAGGAGACCATTGCTTTTTACTCACATTGAGCTTTTCACATTTACAATTCAGTCCTCCAATAGCATAAGCATGGCCATTTCAATATACTACCTTATTCCTCAAGTCTCTACCTTCTCTCATTTTTGGAAGTGAAGTCCATTCTCCTGTTTTTATATCTATCATTTCGACAAAATTCGAAAAGCCTGAACTAAATCCACCTCCAAAGATCACTACCTTATTAATGAATGGACTGAAGCAAGCTCAGTTTGAAAGGGCAAATCTTAGCTTGAAGTCGCACATCTCCCATTTATTGTCCTTAATACTGTATTTATCAATTGTATCAAGTCTTTTATTCCCATCATAGCCTCCAAATGTATAAATAAACTTATCTACTATGCAGGCTGAAAAAGCTCATTTGGAGATGAGCATCGGACTGAAGTACTTCCAGTCTTCATTATCCTCACAATTGAACATCTCACAGGAGTCTAAGAAGTTGCCCATGATTCCATCATATCCTCCCATCACATAAATGTTCTTTCCCAGGATTACAGCAGAATGTTCTTTCCTCACTTGATTCATAGATTTACGCTTGATTAATTCTCAGCCATTCGTGTATTGGTAGACAACGGTTGAGCTTCCTCCTCCAATAATGAGTGCATCTCCATTTGGAAGAGTCACTGCAGCTGAGTAATATAACAGATCATTACTTGAATGTAGTTGCTTCATGCCCCATTTCTTTGAATCTAAAGAATATTCCATGACTTTATTGGAATCCCCAAAGAAACAGATACGCTTATTCTTGAGATGGGGGATATAGCTCAGGTTTCCTATCTTCTTCACAATCTCATCAGTCTCTCTTTTATTCATATCAATATCAATATTTGGGAACTTCAGATGGATTGGAGCTAACTTCTTCTTCAAATCAAATGCGAACACAGCCATCTTTATCTTATTCATTCTTACATTCTGCTCTTTATTTTTCTCATTTTCCTCTTTGCCCTCTTCCTTAGCCTCTTCTTTCTTCTCCTCTTCAAACTTGAGAGATTCGAGCTGTTGATGATAAACCTCTAAGTCTTTAGCGATTTTATCTTTTTCAGCATCTACTAATTTTTGGTACTCTTCTTTGACTCACTCAGCTCTTTTCTCAACATTTTCAATGATTCTCTTGACCTCTTCATCAACTCTTTCTAAGTCTTTTTGACGTTTGTCATCAAGGTACTTCAAACCAGATTCTGCTTTTCCAATAAGCTTCTTAATCTCTTTGGAAACTTCTTTTATGACAAAGCTAGATTCTTCGTGCCTAACAAACTGATGTCCTGAGTGGTCAAAGATACACTCAGCGCAGATTAGTTTATCGCAGGTATCACAGAAGTAACGGAGCCCTTCCTTGGGATGAATAGAGCACATCTTGTACTTCGTCTGCATTTCTTGATGCTTTCTGGCTATTTCTAGAGCAATAAAATTTTTCGGGAATTTAATAGCCTCATAGCCCTTCGGGAGCTGGAGTCTTCAGATTGGACATGTATTTAGTTTATTTCTCCTGCATATTTACTAAACAATCTTCACAAAAGGTATGCCCACATGATAAGTTTCTTGGGATACGTACTGTTTCGTCAAAAGTCTGGAAACAACTTGGGCAATCCATTTATAAAAATATTTAAAATTGTTACCAAAGGAGGGGTTTTGGGGTTTTGGGGTTTTGGGGTTTTGGGG